GTTCTTTTATCCTACCCCAAATTATCTTCTCTGTGGTTGACTTAAGTGCTGTGACATGCAGATCAACAGATGTAGCAACACTTACTGGAATCCATTCCTGCTAGAACACAGGGGCTGGGTAGTCCAAGGCTATTACTAGATTCGCTGAAGGAAAGGCAGCTGTCTATTTGGGGACATCATGATTGGAGGCACAGCTATCTTTTCTGCAAGAGAAAATGCTTGATGGCCAATTAATGGATCCAATCCTGTGTGCTGCTAAGAAATGAGAAGTAATGTTGTTTGTTTGAGCGACTCTTTGCGTAAAAACTTTTCATAAAAATGTATGAAAAAAATGCATATTCAGTAAGGAAATAGCAAAAATACAGTACCATCCTGCACCACATTTCTAATATTGTTACGTCTCTAGTCGTTTGTTAATTTTCCGTAAAAATTCTTTCCAAAGAAACTTAGCGATACAGGTCCTTTCTTAAATAAAACTAGTTTATTTTCCCTGGATGCAACTTTGCAATACACTTAATTTCCACAGTCACTTTAAACACACGCTATAATTCACAATGATTCACGCACTTACTTACGGTCAATACCGCACTTGACTCAATTGTCCGTCTCTATCTCTGCCTGTCTGCAATTCAATTCCAATTAATTTGTCTCACGTTATCTGGCGCACTTTTATACAGGAATCGAGGGCGCCTAGCACATACTGGATTATTCGTATGTTCCCCAATCCTTCTAGAATATCATGACGTGTTACCAGCGTCACGTGACTACCGCTGTCGTAACACTGCCCCTTCCTTAGTATTGTACGTCTCGAACAATAGCCACTTACATTAAACCAATAAACAATTAACGATAACTTAATTAAATGGACAGAATTTACAAACACAAAGTTAAAATTCAACAAAGTCTTTTAATTTTTACAGGACGTATCTTCTTCCTTATTGGCTTCTGCTTCACGTGAAGTTCATCTGCTCCATCGAGAATTGTCCTATTATCGGGAAAAGTCACATCAGTCGTAGTAACTTCATCAAGGCCTTCACTGTTTCCTTTCTCAAAACTGAGTAGAGTTTCTTCTTCAACAGTGGCCTTTCCAGGTGACATGTCTTCAGCGGCGTCTTTTGTTCCATTGTTCACTTCATCCCAACTGAAATGACCTGGACCGTGATAACGCCAAAGCCTGTTGGCATGCATCACCTTTGGCTTACCTCGCCGACCACATTTTATTCGGAAAGTTACGTCTGAGAGATGATCCACTATGTCATATGGGCCTTCCCATGGAGATGACAACTTAGGAGACTTCCCTTTGGTCTTCCCGGGATTATACAACCACATCTTGTCTGCTAGTACAAAGCTGACTTCAGTAGACTTCCTTTATCATAACATAGTTTCATCGAATCAGCAGACGTTTTCAAGTTTGAACGCACTTGATGGTGAATATGATCCATCCTTTCTGATAACACTTTCACGAACTCTGACATATTTTCAGGCAACTCTTCGTAAGGTGGCGTCCTGTTAACAGATCAACTGGCAACCGACCAAACATC